ATTTTTGAACGATCTGTCAGATCTTAGTCTTTACCAGATCAACTCTGTTAGTAATAACTTAGGTAAATGTCTGGATTTAGTTTTTGTGGACGATGTTTCCAACGTCACAATAGCCCCTAGCTATGCTTTGATTACCCCTGTTGATTCTCACCACCCACCACTAGAATTGTCCTTGATAAATTCACGCAACTCATGTTGCTTTATCAGTAAAAAATCAAGAGCGGAGCGTTACTCATTTAAAACAGCAGATTATAATAAACTTAGGTTAGAGATATCGAAGATAACTTGGCCCCAGTATGATGGGAATGCTGAAGATAGTGCCTTACATTTTAGCAATTCCTTACGCCACATTTTCAGTAAAATCATTCCTCTTGTTAAGGAAGCTAACGTAACGTCTAACGCTCAGTGGTTTACTGGCGAATTGAAACGCTTAAAAAATCAAAAATCCAAAGCATTTAAGCTTTTTAAAAAATCTGGCTTGTCTTCTCACTACTCCGCGTACTCCATTCTTAGGCATAAATACAATGTATTGAACAAAAAGTGTTACAATAATTATATTAACAGGGTTCGACTCAATATAGTTTCTAATCCCAAATCGTTTTACGCATTTGTGAACACTAAGCGTAAGACTAACGGTTATCCCTCAACATTGAAGTTAAATGACTTAGTTTCCAGTGACGAAAATATTATTGCCGATATGTTTGCTGGTTTCTTCGAGTCAAACTACTCTGCCAGTTCTACATCTTCCCAACTGATTTCGAATCTATCTAGCTACCCATTCGATCTGCCAGCATTTGATTGTATCCGAATTCCATCGATATCTGCTGCGGACGTCCTCATTCATTTGAATTGTTTGAAAATTTCATATACAGCTGGCCCAGACGGTATACCCACAAGTGTTCTTAAAAGTTGTGCAGAGTATTTGTATAAGCCTCTGGCAAATATTTTTAATGCTTCCCTAAAACAGGGTGTCTTCCCATCTTCCTGGAAGGATTCGTTTATCTTGCCACTTTATAAAAATGGAAGTAGGACTAACATCGTAAACTATAGAGGAATTGCGAAGCTTTGTGCTATTGCTAAAGTTTTTGAGGCAATCGTTACGGAAGAACTATCTCACTCTATTACTTCTGCTATTGATCTATCGCAACACGGTTTTTGCAAAGGTAAATCAACTGTATCCAATCTTCTTGAATTCACTACTTATGTGTCTAATGGGTTTAAAAACAATCTTCGAACGGACGTGATTTACACTGATTTCAGCAAGGCATTTGACAAGGTATCTCATTCAACCCTTATATATAAACTTGATCGAATTGGCTTCCCTCCTATTCTTCTCAGCTGGCTTTCTTCTTACTTAGTGGATAGGAAACAAAGAGTAATTTTTAAAAATTGTACCTCCCGGCCAATACATGTCACATCCGGCGTACCTCAGGGCAGCCATATTGGTCCCGTCTTGTTTATTTTATTTATAAATGACCTTCCTAAGGTGTTGAATTACTCGAAATGCTTAATGTACGCTGATGATGTTAAGCTCTTTAAGTACATTAGTACTGCAGAAGATAGGGAGCATTTGCAAGCTGACCTAACCTGCATTTTCGAATGGTGTGAAGCAAATTCCATGTCACTAAATTTGAAAAAGTGTAAATTCATGACCTTCTCTAGAAAATCGTTCTATCCAAATTCGTATATGATATCTGACCACAATGTTGAGCAAGTGACCAATTTCATTGACCTAGGTGTAACTATGGATCCGAAACTAGAATTCAAGTCTCACATAAACTCCTGCGTGATTAGGGCTAGAGGATTGTTGGCTTTTCTTAAGCGCTGGGCCAAGGAGTTCAACGATCCTTATGTCACTAAAGTTCTCTTTACCTCTCTAGTTAGACCGATTTTGGAGTATGCATCTATAGTATGGAATCCTAGCTATCAAATTCATAGTGACAGGCTCGAATCAGTGCAGAAACAGTTCCTGTTATTTGCCCTCAAAAATTTATGTTGGGACTCGTCTAAAAATCTCCCACCCTACAAGGATCGCCTGAAGCTTATAGATTTGCCGACGCTTCAGAGTCGTAGAGAGATGCTTGGTGTTCTTTTTTTAATTAAATTAATGAACGGGATGGTCAGTAGTCCCTTTTTACTGAGTGAGATAAATTTTTGTATTCCTACAAGACCCACGAGACATTTTAAACCTATTGTGTTGAGTATTTGTAAATCAAACTTTGAAATGCATGATGCTTTTCGGTGCTTATGCCAAGATTTTAACAAGCATTATGATTGCATCGACATATCTGAATCGCTTTTTGTAATAAAGAAAACATTGCTCAACAAGTTAACTAAATAAACTAATATCTGCAACCGTGAACGAAAAAATTACACAATATCTATGACTGCTTAGTACAATTGTAACGGCTTCGTATATTTCCGCGACCGCGTAGGACAATAGGAGCAGGGATCGGAAACTCGGCCTTTCCGACCTCGCCAACAGTTCGTCTATAGCGTGGAGCGGAAACTAGGACTTTCCGCCTGCCTCACTTACAAAGTAACGACTACGGGAACATGGATCGGAAGCTCGGCCTTTCCGACCATGATCAACGGCCTGTAAACAGGGCGGAGCGGAAACTAGGTCTTTCCGCCCGCCGCACACAAAACTAGACTGGAGACAAGGCCTCACCAGCTACCCAAATTGCTATTGAATATCATTGTTATCTTTACAAGTTAATATTTATAATTATTTCACTCTGTAATGTATCACACATACTTAAATATTCTAAATCTTTTTATCTCAACTGTCTGTAAGAAAACATTTTTCTGTAGACTAAATAAATAAATAAATAAATAAATAATAAATTTTTGACGAAAAATAAGAATATTATAAATTATGGTTACATGTGTATATCTTGGTAACCGCTGCACCAATTTCTTCTAAACTTGGCACAGTTGTTGGATTTAGTACAGCATACCAAACGGCTGAAAATTTATAAAATCGGACGATAACCACGCCTACATCCCATATAACGGTAATTTAGAGAAATACAAAATCTTCGATAAATCAGTAGGTGTATTCTCTGAGTCTTGCAAAGCCCTTGCACGGTGCACGGATTGCACGGTTTGCAAAGCTGTCCCATACGAAAACCGGTTTTTACCGTGCAATCCGTGCAATCTGTGCACCATGCAAGGGCTTTGCAAGACTCAGAGAATACCCCAAGTAAATATTAAAGCTAATTTATTCAAAATTGATGCTTACAACAATTCTTTACCAGAAAATACGTTTAAGATAAAATTGTGGAAAATGGGCGTAGCACCGCCCACTTATAATCACATATATGTATATCGGTAACCGTTCTACCAATTTGTACCAAACTCGGTATTTTTATTGTGCTTGCCACATAAAAGAAAAACGTTGAAAATTATTGAAATCGAACTAAAATTACGGCCGCTTTTCATATAACGGTAAATTTCAGAAACGCTTGAAACTTCAATATTTGGAAATTTAAGGACGCAAATTTACTCAAAATTGATACACCCCGGCTTACCATGTAGCGGTAGCTTTCGGAAAGGTGAAAAACATATATTTAATAATTGCGCCGTGTATTTAATGTTCGGCTCCGCCCGAACTTAGACTTTCTTACTTGTTTAAAATAATTTCATACAAATGTTAGCCACGACTATGCTGTAGTTGGTCCATTCGGAAGGTCCAATTTTCAAGAACTCATTCCAGCATTTTTTGGGGGAAAGAGTTTATACTTCTAAATATATATCATCAGAAAATACTGAAAATTCGCTGTTTAAAATATAGTTATGAAAGTTTTATGTACAGAATGAACTAAAAAAATTCACTTTTTGAAGTTTCATAAATTGCATTTTATTTACATAAAATTTACAAAGAACGCAGACATTTTCAACCGGCTTCAAAAAATGGGAGGTTGTCAGTTCTTCGGAGTATTTTTACTTCTTTTATTTATTTCACCGCATAACTTTGCACTGCGTGAACCGATTTTTTTTACCGGAAAGATAGTACCGTCGTCCCGTAATTTGGTTTAGATCCGATCAGAAAATCATGAAAAAATTAACGGTTAAAGATGCACTCAACTTTCAAAAGTAATACAACATTTTACAAAAGAATTTTAATATAAATAAATTAAATAATTTCACGAAAGTTTTACACTTTTTTATTCATTTTCGCCGATTTCTTGTTTCTCATTTTTTAATACTTCGAATAACGAAAATTTAGCTGAACTTGTATTTTTATCATGTAGCTCATTTTGGTGGAACGAATTCCAAGTTAGCAAATTAAATCTTCTAATGCTTCTTAAGTACATATCAGTGGTAAACTTTTTTAGGCTGTAAAGTGTAGAAAGCAACAGTAAGTGAGCATGCATTGCATATTTTTAGGCCAATGTTTTCATTCGCAATTAAACCTTAAAGAGCTCTCAAGAAAAAAGAAAAATTCTTACAAAAAATGGAAAAGAAATTTTTTTCTATCAAAATTTCTTAAATCATAATAAATTTAACCCCAAAACCCACCCCTTGTGTGCGCTACGTGATAAATTTGATATGTAAAAGTAAACAGACAATGTTTAATTTTGCACACACTAGGAGACGAAACGAAATTTTTTTAGAGGAAATTTTAAACATTTTATGTGTAAACTATGAAAATGTGAACAATAAATGTTTAAAACTCAAAAAACAAATTTGAAATTTGTTCTACGCCACACATATGATAAGTAAAAGTAAGCACGCAGTGTGTAAATTTGCATTCATTAAGAGAGGAAACTGGTTACCTATCTTAATATGCGCAAATTTAAACACAAATTTTTTAGAGTGTATTTATTTGTAAAGTTACCCAGAAAACTAAACTTTTTACCAATTAAAAGTTTTGCGACACTTGTTTCTAAAATTCAGTTATAAAGAGCATGTGCCATTCTAACCTCTACATATCCATATATACTCGTACAATGTCTACATGTGTGTGAATATACAAATATGCTATTTCCGCTTACCTTGGTATTGAGCCTCGCCAGCCCCTGCATTGAACATTCCTTGTGGATGCTGTGCTGCTGTTCCTGTTGTATTGCTGCCGGGCTGTTCGTAGTCCTTCTTCTCTGGTATGTGCTGACGAGCTGTTTGCACGGCAACATTTATGATATTTTTAATTGGCGGCAATGGAGTTGATTTCAATTTATTAATGAATGACATTGTGACGAAAGCAATATATTGGCGAATTAGTCTTTTGAGGGTGATTACGACAGTCGCTGCTGATGGTGAAGATGGTGGTGGCGGTGGCGGTGGTGAAAATGTCAAAATACAATTACACTGCGTGAATTGATGTGGTTGAGCTTATCGATTTTGTGTGTCTGGCAGAAAGCACTGCAAATTTTCTTTGGTTTTTTCTCTGTACTGAAAGTTATTCATAAAGATGACCCGACGTGACTATTCCCACATATAGAGTGGAGGTAGTGATTCCAGGATACCAATAAATTTATATAAACCACTTCAATGTTCATCTCGAATCTGGATGCATGGATACGTTCTTTATTTCATGTTCGCACAAACAAACAAAAGGAAAATTAAGTAAAACATGAATTCCATGAAATAAGCAGCTATGAATATTTCTTTTTTATCCAATACTATGGACATACATAAGTATAACTAATGTGAACTATAATGCATGTTGCTTGCTTGTAATTTTCTTATGGCACAATTTTTATATAGATTTATTAACATTTACTTGCAATGCTGTCTCGTTAATGTACACGACAGCCTTATTTGTTGAATAAAATTAAAATAAAATCACTACGAATTTATATAACACAAATCTTATTACGATAAGTAACTGTAGTAGAGTCTAAACCGAATTGATGATTTATCTTTTGTGCGAGTTGAAAATTTGAATTTGCGCATGTGCCAAAAATTTTATGTATTTGGTAGATCCTGACAAGTTACGGTAGAGATGACTTTAATGTGGATGCTGTTGACAACGTGTAAATTTGTGATTCTGCTGCAATCAATGTGATTTAGAAAATGCTTTCACAAGAATTCAAATATACTACATATGTATGTTTCGACAAAAAAATAAAAACTTAATTCAATTTTAAGTATCTATGTTTGTATATATGTATGCTTATTTAAATTTTTAAATGAAAAAATCGTAGTTACTAAATAAAGTATTTTTAATCTTTCTACTGTATATGATATGGTGAAAACTAAAAATCAAGGTAATTTAAAAAAATAATAATTTGAAACTGTATTACCTTTCCGATGACACCATATTTTTCCAAATGGAAAAAAGAAATTGTCTAATTTTCTCGACCCAAATTGGTTATTTGATAGATTTTTGCGACGCCCATAATTTGTAAGCATAAAAATTAAAAAAGAAACCTTAATCAATTACTGAATGTAAAATCTGAGCCAAATCAAAGGACACCACATTTAGAACCTAATCAGTTACATGTAGTAAACTAGGTATGGTATTTGTTGATTGAATTGCATAATAATACAAGCTAACTTGTTAAAATATAGAAATTATTTGGAGAAGTAGCGCATGAATAAATTCGATGAAATGAGCTAACCAGCATTATTCGGATTTTGGTTTTCGCGGCATTAGATTAGATTAGATTTATAGGAGGGAGCAGGCCACCTAGTAACCGCGACCGAAACGATCTATTGTAACAAGCCTGTATTCAACTACAGGTTATCTTTGATCCAACTACTGCTAAGAAGCCTCGCGAGGTCCTTTGGCTGAATGCCATTTAGGTCGTGTGCTTCTAGATACGGTGATCCTAGGAAGCGAAGTCTGGTGTAAGAGCTTCACAGTGGCACATAATGTGCTCTGATGTTTCCTGTACTTCGTTACACAACCTACAGTGGTCAGAGCTGACAACTCCTATGTTTGACAAGTTTTTCATTACCCTACAGTGTATTTCTTCAGTATTTGTCCAGTAATTTGTGCTTCGTTCTTCATCCAGATATAGTAGTTTCGCCTAGCGGAGCTTCATGGCAGACCGGTAAATGGTTCTACCAATTTTCCCCGTTTCCATTTACTGGAGGAAATGACTACGCTAGTATTATTCGGAATTACGTTTAACCCATTGTTACTACACCATTTGGCGACTATGTTCAGAGCATTCTGTGTTAGGTTTGAGATGGTATCTTCGAACCTACCTCTGATTAGGATGACAATTGTTATGTGGCTGTAGTGCTGTTGCACGGTCGAGTTGCAAGTCGGCATGCTTGCGGTGCCTGGCATAGCTCATCGGCTGGGGTGGGTCTGTTGCACTCGCCTTGCCTACGCCACACTAAAAAAAAAACAGGTTTAGTCATGCCGACATATGTAAGTTAAGAAGACAGTAGAAGTATTGACCAGGAAAACCAAAAGAAAAAAACAGCAAACAAGTAGAAAAAGAAAAATGAAAAAGGCCAGTCCCGTCAGGCGGAGTCTAACCTGACTCAGGTCCGTCAGTCAGTCATATCGTCGTCCTAAGTCCATCACTCCTGTCGCCTGTCATCACTCCCACGTCCCCTCTTAGGAAATTAGGAAGTTAACGCCTCATTTTCTTATACAAAGCGTCATCCAAATTTCATATTTATTAATCTAATTTAATCCAATACTTACAATCTCTAATCGCTACACAATTATTTCCTTACATTAACCTTCTAATTCGAAGACATCATTATAATTCCATTTACGCTAGCCTAACTAACTTCACATTATGTGCATATGTGCATGTATAACTCACGTATGTACAAAAGAACTCAATCAATTAATACCGAAATGCGAAAGATTTCAAACAAAGGTAATCAAAAGGGAATGTCTACAAAACAAACCGTAGCTTTAGCAAACTAACCAGACGTATAATTGCTTAATAAGTACAGGCGATCTACCTACGCTGGGATAGTTTCAATCCAGAAATCATATTTACCATTGATTTCCTCTTCTATTAGTATGTATACCATTTAAATAATTCGGTGCCTAATTATGTATTTACGTATTTACTTATGTTCGCTGATATTTTTGAGAGCTATGTATCTAGGTATATATGTACGTAAGAGTATATAAGAATTTAACTCACTCACCTTGTCCGCTCCTTCGATGATGGTACCAACATTCCGGAGAAGAGCCTGCGTGGGGAGAAACTTCATACATACATACATATAGACATGAGTACCTACATATATACAGGCAGTAATACGTATGTTCTCAACTGACCGGTATATTACTCACTCACGCTCGTAGCAATGAACGGGTCGGCTGGCACATAGCACAAAAAAAACGTGGATCGATCGCGAAATGCAAATAAAAAAAAACAAAGTTAATCGGAGGCTTAATCAAAAATATAAATAATTAATTCAAAATTCGTTGTTTGATCAATTAGAAGTAAGAACCACACCTAAACCGCATAAAAATATTAAAGAAAGGTTATTACTCTAGTGACGCAAAGCCAAACAAAATCCAAAAGAGAAACCGAATAAGTAATAAAAAAACAAACAGAAAAAACGCGGATATATCTAAACTGCGGTCGGGTGTATACATCACCAGTTCATGGGAATAAAAATGTATCTCCCTTTTTCCTTTTTATATAAAAAACTAGATCTCTTCTAAAATTGCATCATATTAGGGTGCACGGTGAATTCTAGGTGTGCCGAAGTGAGTGAGATCTGTATTATTGCTAAACCTAATGCACAAGAAAAATCCCTAAACCTAATGCAAAAGAAAAATCCCTAAACCTAATGCTAAAGAAAAATCCCTGATAAGAGAATGTAAGCTAACAGAAGAATAAATATCTCAAGTGAACAGGAAACTAGTCTAGTGGCATATAAACTAACAAGAGAGGGAATAGCAAAATACAAAACTAGGTAAGCAAAACTTCAGCGTTAAAACTACTATGAAAAGAAAATAACTAATTATGTATGTACTTAAAAAGATAATATTCTTCAACAAAAAAATTCTCTAAGAAAGAAATGTTAACTCTAATCTCTATTTGACATCCGATCTCAACTAACAAAGTACTCAACCTAATAATTGAGTGCAACCGTTTGAGCAGATTATGCTATCTATGTTAATGTATGAGGGTCCCTGCTGCTTTGCTGCTTAGCTTTGGCTCCCACGTAGTCGCTGAATCCCTCGTTCCCTGATTTGGTGCTCAGCTATTGCCGTTTGGTTCCCTCTGTCGTACTACGGCGGCCGTTGACCCACTCCGGCCTGTGTATCCAGATCAGCTGTTACGCTATCCTCATGTTGCTGGGCCCCAGTTGCAGTGCAATCTCCTCCAGAAAATAGCCGCAGCGTAGATATATATATATATATTAAATTTAACGTTTTCGATGGTTGTGATGCGTGCGGGTGGATTTCTTGTTGCTTACATGTGCGTATGCTCCACTGTTGTCGTTATATCCCACGGTGCTAGGCGATGTTTGGATGTGTTTCCAAGTGTTGATGTGACTCTAAGAGGTGCTTAATGGAGGTCCTTTCGCACTTCCTCTGCTGGCGACCTGAAATACCAAGTATAATTTAGAAACAAGTTGGTCTTGCGGTGCTGCGTTTGCATATATTTGCTTATATGCATATATGTATGTATGTACATACACATGCACATGGGCACGTACGTATGTACATCTCCGTTTGCAGTACGCATATGCATGTATATGCTTGGCCGCTTATTTTTATGGTAGCTGGCCGGCCTAGCTCGGGAGTCCAACTTATTTTTGGCAACCCAATCTAGTTCTGACCAGCGTTTGGACCCAATAAACGCTTGACTTCGGGACTTTTGGCGCTCCAAAGCAGTGGTAAGCTAGTTATATTATTAACACGCTTACTTACCTCCAATTCCGATCAGGTAAACTCGATGAAAGCTGGTTTAATATAAAACTGATAGCTGGCGGTATGAATATGTGCGGAACCGTTTGAATATCGCGTATTACACCGGTCTTAGTTTTCTTATTTTTTTATACCCGAGCGCACTTGTGCACAAGGGTATTATAACTTTGTTCACATAACGGTTGTTTGTAACAGGCAAAACGAATCGAGATAGATATAGACAAATGTATACATAAATGATCAGGATAAAAAGAGAAATCGATTAAGCGGTGACTGTCTGTCCGTCCGTCCGTCTGTCCGTCCGTCTGTGCACACGATAACTCGAGTAAAAATTAAGATATCGTAACGAAACTTGGTACGTGTACTTCTTTCGGGCGTAGGACGGATGGTATTGAAAATGGGCAAAATCGGACAATAACCACGCCTACCTCCCATATAACGGTAATTTTCAGAAATACGAAAACTGAGATATTTTAGTAAATACTAAAGATAATTCACTCAAAATTGATAATTACAATAAGTTTTAGACGAAAAATAAATAAATTATAAATTTTTGAAAAATGGGCGTAGCCACGCCCACTTATGGTTACATGTGTATATCTTGGCAACCGCTGCACCAAACTTGGCACAGTTGTTGACTTTGGTACATCATACCAACTGGCCGAAAATTTTTAAAATCGGACAATAACCACGCCCGCATTCCATATAACGGTAATTTAGAGATATACGAAATCTTCGATAAAGCAGTAAATATTAAAGCTAATTTATTCTAAATTGATGCTTGCAGCAATTCTTTACCAAGAAATACGTTTATGATAAAATTTTGGAAAATGGGCGTGGCACCGCCCACTTATGATCACATATATGTATCTCGGTAACCGTTCAACCAATTTGTACCAAACTCTGTATGGTTATTGTGCTTGCCACATAAAAGCAAAACGTTCAAAATTATTGAAATCGGACTAAAATTACCGCTTTTCATATAACGGTAAATTTTAGAAATGCTTGAAACTTCAATATTTCGAAATTTAAGGACGCTGGTTTACTCAAAATTGATAAACCCCGGATTACGATGTAGCGGTAGCTTTCGGGAAGGTGGAAAACATATATTTAATATTTGCGTTGGGTATTTAATGTTCGGC